GACGAAGAATCATAAGCACAGGGTTTAACGACCTTAGTCTTTGTATCGTCTGCAAATGTTGTTATTCTCCCTTTTTATGGGATAAAGGCATGAGTTGTCTTGTCATATCATGTTAGAACAGAGCCAGAAGGGTTTAAAGGCTCAAAATTCCAGTAATGTACTTCACATTACTGGAATTTTGAGCTAGTTGTCGAGTAAACTCCCTCACATAGCGAAACGCCGGCATTTTTTCTCACGTTGACATTCTGTGAAATCTGGCGTGGAACCTCGATAGTGTTTCGCCGTGTAAGATTTCCGGAAGCTCAATCCTTAGCCTCCCCCCAACCCTCGTCAATCCTAAATATCTGTAACCCTAATCCACAAAAGGCGAGCAAGCATTCGTAACTCTTCAGGCGTTGCATGGCGTCTATACCATCAGGAAATCGGTCACATAAAAAATTATATAAATATTTTGAACCCAAATTATTACTATCGAGTAAATTTTCAAAATATCGATGAGGAAATCGTACCTAAATACTATTGTTTTATCAATAGATATCTGTAGATATTTCTCATCAAGCATTACATTTAAAGATTGCAGAAGTGCACAAATCGTATGGTGCCTCGGGCGCCTCAACCCGCTCACCCGAGATATTTCATAGAGTCTTTGCCATGATTTATTGTACCACGATAAGATGTAATGATGAACCTAATATTTTATGTTTATTAGATGTTATCTACTAAACATATCGATGGCATTTGGTCGATTGATTTTGATAGTTTTGTGTGCATAGATTTTGTAAATATTTTTCTGGAAATTTTCCTTTAAAACATGTACCTTATAATATAAAAATTGTAATGCAAAATGTGTTGCTAAGCGCATAACTCAACAACACCTGGACCAATTTAAGAAAAGATTCTTTTTTTTTTTGTTGTATTTATTACTGTCAGGAGATACGAGTAATTCTTATCAAAGAATATTAGAAACTTACAGGGGAAACTTGAGAAAATTTTTTTTTTTTTTTTTGTTAGCGGGATAGACGTACCCGTGCGAACCTAGCGTAGTTTAAAATATATTTATTGCATGCAATCAGATTGCAGATAACACAAATAGTAGTTCTAAGCGGAAATCGAAGAAATGACACGTTAAACAGAAGCACTGCCCCAGCTATGTAGCAGTACCTACACACATGTGTGGCAGAGCCAAGCTTCGGCACAAATGGGTCGGCTCGACCGGAGTGATACCATGGCCTCACAGAATACCGGCGTGAAACAACCCACAGCTTGGTGTTTCGCCGTGTGAGTGAGGTTTCCGGAGGCCCAATCCCTCCCCTTCCCCTAATTCTTCCCAATCCTTATATCCGCAACCCCTATCCCCAAAAGGCCGGCAACGCACTCGTAACTTCTTTGGTGTTGCGGAAGTCCATGGGAGGCGCCGATTGCTTACCATCAGGTAATCCGACTGCCGACTTATACCATAAAAAAAAACAAAGGAGTGATATTTTTTTATTGAAAATAACGAATTGCTTACGTGTATGAACTGATAAAAGCTCTATTAGACGTCGCCGCGACGCGCACGCGCACGCTGCTCATGCATAAGAGGCCCGTTGTAAATTGTAACCAGTAGAGGTTTTCTCACTTAATTCACGTGAACATTCGTCGTCATTTTCATTTTATTAACTCTCGCGCGGTTTCACCTGCTGCTCAGCTCCATTTGATCGTAGCGTCATGTTTTATAGCCTATAGCACTCAGGAACATTGTAGGTATCTATCAGTGAAAGAATTTTGGCAACCCGACCAGGCGGTTCTAAAGATTACCCCCCTACATACAAACTTTACCTCTTTATAATATTAGTACAGATAAATCAGTGGCTTATGTAGTCGTTGGCCCAAACAGACAGAAGTTATAGTTATTTCCAATTTATGATAATGGCAGGCGATCGCAATATTCTTATAATACGGGCACAGGTTCAAATACAGTGATCGAGGCCGATCTTATTATCTCGCTGATATTAGGGACGGCAATTTTCAGCACCTACATAGTTCTAAATTGTGGAATAAATGATTCACAGCATAGCATAATCACTTGAAACGTATTGTATTGGAGTATCTCAGAAGTAGCACAGAGTCTGCTATAGTAGTTAGTGTTTGCAAAATGCTTTTTATTCACAATATTTGATCTACGAATTGAGATTGAAGTTATCTGTAACAAAATATGACTTTTTTGAGGGACAAAAGTTATCTGATGGCTCTTTCAGCCCCGGGTGAGGCGTGAGGACGTGTAAAACACGTAACTGATCCAAAACCACACCATTTCAAACCCCTCTCCGCCGGCCGTACCAATTGTTATTTCGCTTGACCCGCAACCCCATGAAACGTTGTCTTTTTGTGGAACTATACAGAGTTTTTATTTTTATGTGAAAGGTCGCCAAATGGATTACGTGATGGTAAGCAATCAGTTGCCGACCTTTTGGGGATAAGGGATTTGGAGATTTTGTGATTGGGGAGGGATCGGGAGAGGGGAAGGTTTGGGCCTCTGGTAACCTCACTCACACGGCAAAACACAACGCTGTGGTTGTTTCACGCCGGTTTTCTGTGACGCCGTGGTATCACAGCGGTCGAGCCGACCCATATGTGTCGAAGCATGGCCCTCCCACACTTAAAATGTTCATTCAAACAAAATACTCTCTTAATTAATTTTAACAAAACAATTCTCAACTGTCTCAAGAAAACCGCGATGCTCTTTAAGAATATTCTGTTAAACTTATGCAAGTGGAGTCAACTAGATGTTTTATAGGTCGTTCGTATATGGCACGTTAATTAATAAGTACTGGTCCATCGTCATCCATCATCCTTAGCTTCGTTTACACCAGTCGACGTCCGTCGAGAGCTTGTGACCAATTACCAATTAAATCTAAACCAGACTGCGTTTATCTGCACCTATCATGCACAGTTTATTAAAGAACTGCTCGTATTCTATTAAAATTAATGATATCAATCAATTTAAAATTTGAACTCCATTTTATTGTTGTTATATAAACGTGCGGTGATACTTTTATGCATATGATATTGATAGGACGACGTGTTATTTATCGATAGATAATGCAGTATTAACAATACTTTCTTTATGTCATAGGTTGAAAAACCGGATCGCCCATGGATACCCGTAACACCAGAGGAGTTACGAATGCTAAGCGGCCTTTCGGGATAAGGTTTTCGGAGATTTAGGGATTGGGAAGAACTGGGGAAGGGGAAGGATTGGGCCGCTGGTAAATTTACTTACACGGCGAAACAAACGCTGTGGTTGTTTCACGCCGATTTTCTGTGAGGCCGCGGTATCAATCCGGTCGAGTCACACTTAAATTATCTGCAGTCTGCATACTGGTGCTTGTATACATACTAGCTGATTTTTGTTCTGGATCAGAAACTGCACCTATGCGAACGTTGTCTGAGACACCCTCCTGCTAATATTCATAGTGGCTGACAGTGATTGTATTCTCAGAGTGTAAACTGATAAAATGATATCAAACAAATATAACAAAATAAAATAAAATAAATATATAAATATTAAACTTACAAAGAACGTATAAAGGAATTCTGCTTCTTTCAAGTTATTCAAGCTGTGATAATTAGACACTTACTTACAGTAAGGTCTACAATATAATTGTACTAAAATCACCTAACCAACACGTTAAAATACAATAAGAAGACGCTTAAAAATAATATAAAATGAATCGATTAAAAATCAATTATTTCGTAAGACGCTACCGCGGGATCGGAACAAGATCATTTTCAAGTAATAGTCGTTGACGCGAGAGGAGCGCCCGCGCATACGGTCACGGACTCGAACTTCAATGCTATGTGACATTTACACAAAACCAACGTTTTACCACCCACTTATTTGAAATTGAAAGTTTCTTTTTTTTTTTCATTTATTGGGAAATGGGTATCAAGGTATCAGTCTCAGTTAAGTTCGTTGTTTGGCTTAACGTAGATAAGGGTTTGAGATAACATTATTTGAACAATCTAAGTACATTTTCACAAAAATATTGGTATTACAATACATGTTTAGATTTTGTCGAACTAAGATATCGTATTATGAGGTTCTGTAGCACCAGGAACCTAAAATGGCTATCAAACAATGGCTTTGAAATTAATTGCCACATATCCACACACACTCGTTCCATCGTTTTTTTTTCAATGTTCGGGGAAAGTCTTATGTCTAATCTACCTTTTCATGAAAACCATATTATAAATGAGAAAGAAAAGTCTGCATTGGAAAACTTTCGTAGAACTTTCACATCGCTGTTTCTTTCTTCTTATAAAAGTTAGAATGAAGGAATGCAGCTAATGCGCTTCTCTTTATTATAAGTACATTTCTTATACCTATGTACACTGATATTAAGTTATTTATACTCAGAAAAACATAAATGTCAGCCTGTCGTAGATTGTACCGAACTATTAAAATGTTTTACGATCATCCGCACGTTTGATGTCTGTCATAAATTGTCGCAAAGCTCCAAGTTTTCCCATGTTAGCATATCGTCGATCAAACTTCAACTTATTAGAACTCACGCATCATATTCGTATTAGTTCAATATGCGCCATTAAGAAAATCCTAATGGAAATAGCTAACGCAACTTAATCACGGAGTTGTAGGCTTTCGCAAGTGTGAACTAGTAGTGGGTGCTGCAACAAGTTAGCACATTATAATGACCCATATACAACACGTGGATTGAAAATTTCTGTGAACTCCCCGAGGGTAAATTGAACCGCTTTGGTAAGTTAATAGGAACACATCCGTAAAGGGAATTCCAGGCTAGTTAAATGTTTCTGAGCTTGAGGCGTGGGGTAACGAAGCGCGGATGCTCTCGCGATATCGGCGGAGCACGCACAAGGTGAAGCAACCGAGAAAGGGCAAATCGGAGCAATATAAAACGAGGCACATCCTCGCCTACAGTATTCAGCAAACAGCTGAACAACAAAGAGCGCCTGTTCTTTAGTACAAAATATCGAACGTCATGACTACTTCAGTGGTAAGTCTGTGAAGATAAGAATCATCTGCTAGCGACATTAGTCCTTTGCTTGACAAATCCTGAATAAATTGGAAAAAAAAAATATTTTTCTCTTCTTTTATGAGCTCTTCAGCTAATTTTCATTTATTATTTTTATCCAAGTTCGAGTTTTTTTTAATATCGTACAACGTAAAAAAACTTTTATCAGTACTTACTACAAGGAAAAGCTCTTTTTGCACATAAGAGAAAGTAAAGAAAAATAATGAGGTACTTACTTATATTTGTTTTTTGTACATTTAAAACTCGTTACTTCTTTCAGTTGATTTTCTCCTTGGCGCTCGTTGCCTTTGGGTCATGTGGTCGTTTGGAGCCTCAGTATCTGCCACCAAGACCTGGAGGCGGTGGTTTCGGAGGTGGTGCTGGTAGTGGTTCTGGCGGTGGGACGGGAGGCGGTTCCTTTGGAGGCTCTGGTGGGGGTGCAGGGGGTGGTTTTGGGGGGGCTGGAGGCGCAGGAGGTGGTGCGGGAGGTGGATTCGGAGGATCAAGTGGATCAGGATTTGGAGGCGGTAGCGGCGGCGGCAGTGGCAACCAAATACCAATCACCAAGTTCGAGAACGTTAACAACGGCGACGGAACTTACCATTTCGAGTATGTGCTCCAAACATTTATCCAATTTGTCTTCTATCTTTGAAATCAAAGTTAGATCTTATAATTATATTTTAAAAATAAATATTCATTTACCGATGCAAACCTCAAAACTGCAGCTCAACGTAAAACTAGACCACAGGTATAAAATGCCCACCAGATAAATTATACAATTTTATTTTATTTTCTAGTTACGAAACCGGCAATGGCATATCCGCGCACGAGAAAGGTTCACCAAGTGCCCAGGGTCCCGAAGGTCCCGCAGTAACGGCTGAGGGAGGTTTCTCCTTCAAAACTCCTGATGGTCAGCAGATCTCACTTACCTACACAGCTGACGAGAACGGATTCCATCCCGTCGGCCCTCACCTACCTACCCCTCCTCCCATCCCAGAAGAAATCCTCCGCTCCATTGAGTTCAACAAACGTAACCCTTCATCGTAAGTACCAGAATCAAATTCAACTTCTTGGCTTTAAATTTGATTCTTGATAACGTGCAAGTCTAAGGCAAAATTTCATGGATGATATATTTGTTGTACGTACATATATGTCGTTTTTGAGTATCAACCTTTCTTTTCTGTTAAAAATAATGTTGGGTTCGTTTACAAACATATAATTTTACAAACCAATAATTTGTGGGTCACACAAAAAGTTGTTCTGTGCGGGAATCGAAACCGCGATACGTTGCGCGGCAGCCAGTTGCCCAGAATGTCCAGCCACAGCGCCAACCGTGCAGTCGAGTAAAACACAACATTTAAAACTTGTAATTCCATACTGGCAGCCATGAAACTGTTGAAGAGAAATTAAGTTCACACGTGTATGTCTCTGATAAATATCAGACATTCATTTAATACGATCAAAATATTAGTAATTTCAACTACACCATCCAACAAAAGTTATAGATAGGTACCATTATTTTCTCCAACCTGGATGAAGTAAGAAGACCCTTTTTCGTAACATAAAAGGCTATTGAATAAGTTAAGACTTAAAGTCTAACTTATCTAATAAGAGCAGAAACTGTAACGGCTACAAAGAGAATGAGCTTTCGACTTGTGAAACTTTATAAGGGGGCTATAGACTGAATTAACTACACTAAGAAGTGAATTAAAATGGTTTAAAACAAAAAAAAAAATAAGTTTACTTCTTACTTACGGACTTTTTGCTACGGAACTCATTTGTTTGAAGATAGAATAGTTGCAGTTTCAATTATATTGTTTTAAACTAAACGTTTTAACTTTTCCTTCTTATAAAACCTGTTTTAACTTTACCTTTTAAACATCAGAACAATTAACTTGAGTATACTTCAGTAATTTAAATAAAGTATACTTCAGTAAATTGTAGTTTCAACTAGAATACTTAAATTAAATATAGATGCATGATTTATGGCTAGTGCTACTAATAAAAACTCACTAGGGATTGGTATATACGATATAACGTCAATAGTCCTGTTTTAGGAAAAAGTATTATTGAAAGAAAAATCTATAAAGTGTATCTCTGTTTATCCCTTTGAGGAATAAAAGGTTTGATGCTAACATGAAATCGATAAATTATATATACTTTCACAGAATAATGCACTGCCCACACAGCGTGGACTAATTGTATTTTTTCTCCTATTTCAGTGAGGGATCCTACAATGGCGGCGGCGGCGGCGGTGGTTCCGGTAATGGCGGATCCGGTTCGGGAGGGAATGGAAACGGCTACCACTACTGATCTCACCGAAAACTCACTTAGCTAATCGTTTCGAACTCGCAAACAAACGCACGTGACTTATGCTACTAGTGGAAAAGTTGGAATGAAAAGTTGATACGGAGGTAAAGGAATAGTTTTCAGTCTATGTAAATCTATGCTTATTGTAGAAGACGATCTCGCAATTTGCATAGAAGTGCAGGATTGTGACAAGAAAGTAAGACAACGTTAGAAAAACCACCTTTATATTAAGATGGACGTAAAGAGAGCTTAACAAAAACGACAAAAGAACGAAGAACCAGTATAAATAGACCGGTTAATGATATCTCAAAGGAAGATGTAAAAAGACGTGCAAGGATTATTTAAAGGTCGTATTTAGAAGGGTAGACGCACTGACCGCAATTTCGATGCGTTCGCTTGCGAATTCAAAGCAATTGTAGCTAATGAGACATTGATCCGACGAAACGACTGCTTCAACCGGGAGGACTGTGATACCACGACGAAAATCGCACTGTTTATTTATTTAGTAATTAATTTGTAGTCTGTCAATGTAAATAGGCATGGTGTATGAATAAACTTGTGTTTATGTGAATTTTATTTTTGTTTTTTTTTAGTTATTTGTTTGACGACTTAAATCACAGATAAAGTTGAACTTGAAGAGGATTTCTTTCTTTTCTTTTCCTTTTGCATTCTTATCGATACCTATGTTTACTAGAAATATTGATAGTACAGACAACGATACAATACAGACAAAATAAAAAGAATTATCCCGAAAAAAAATACAGTCACGTATCTGCAAAACAATAAAGAAAATATTTCAAAACGAACAATAGTACGGTCAACTCGTGTATGCAGTTGTAAAGGTCAAAAGTTCAGAACTAAACTCTATGGAACACAATATGGAACTAGCATTGATTCACCAGATCAAATATGAAAAAAAAAACAATGAACTATCACGCTTCGTTTTCGTTTTACATTTTAACCTGTTACAAATTTAGTGAAATGACGAAATGGTACTGAATAATTTTAAACAAAGGATTAGCAAACTGAAATGGCAGTGGACAAAAGAATCGATGATCGTTCGGGTAGACATGGTCTAGAGTGGAGACCACATCTAGGTAAACGTAGTGTAGGGTGCCCTCCAGCTAGGTGGACTGACGATATCCGAAAGGGTGGCTGGGAGTGGTTGGATGAGAACAGCTGAACATCGAGCTCAATGGCGTATAATTGGGATTTTATGATGTAGCGAAGATAAGTTATGTAAATATTTAGTTAGTAACAATAACGTTTTTATTTGTGTAAATACCTATCTGTATAATATGAAAAGTGTATTATTAAAAAAAAACAGTAAAATGTTGTGTTACGACTGATTCGATTTTAAACTTTTCTTATCATACTGCATACTAAATAATTGAAAAATCTAATAGGTTACTAAAAGGCAGAAATTGTGATGTATGTTATAGGTATGTTATAAAGTATTATTGTATTGTAAAAATATTTCTTAAAAACCGTTATAATATTTTTTTTATTCCGTTGTAATAGGTCGGCAAACGAGCAGGATTACCTGATGGTAAGCAATCAGCGCCCCCCATGGACACCCGCAATGGAGTAGTTACGAGTGCGTTGCCGACCTTTTAGGGTTTCGAGATCCAAGATCCGAGATCAGGATGAGGGGAAGGATTGGGCCTCCGGTAACCTCACTCACACGGCGAAACACTATGCTGTGGTTGTTTCACGCCAGTCTTCTGTGAGACCGTGGTATCACTCCCGTCGAGCCGACCCATTCGTGCTTGCTTGGCTCTCCCACACTTCAAATTGTATAATATTATTTGAATGTATTGAAAAATATATCTATTTGTATAATTCTAAAATGTACATTTTTAAATTTAAATTTTTAGCGGAAACAAGGTTCAAGCCACGGTCCCAGCTACCGATAACGTGTGGTTGGAGTTCCAGAGGCAGAGATATTAGAATTTATTATTTATAATTTAGTGTAACAATAACTAATTTCTCATTACTGATTTACTTTTTCTTTAACTGTATTCCAAATAAATGTGCAGACTGTAAATACTGTTTACTGAAACTAAGCCTAACGTAATTATTTACAGATTTAAAAACCATTTAAACCAAATATTTTGCCTCACATACAAAAATTGGACATAGGACAGAAAAAAAAGGCTAGCAACGCGCCTTTGACTCCTGTGGTGCCATAGGTGTCCATCGGTGGCGCCGATGTTTACGGTGACCCGTCTGCTGGTTTGCCTTCTAATCCTAATTTTTGCACAGCACTGATTTTCAGATGTGCCGTGACTGTTATATACCTAAATATCTGCGCGCAAACGAAATTAAAATAAAAGAAATTAATTGGAGCTACATAAAAAAATATAATGAATTATCTTTCAAAAATAAATTAACTGAATTTGACTAAAAGAAAACGTTACAAGAACTTAAGGACAAGAAAAATAAAATAGTAAATAATACTAAGATTGCATAATTAATATAATTGAGATCTATATTTGAAGTATTCATTAGCAAGCTTAGAACTTGCGGCCACTCACTTCGCTGCTATAATGTCTCCCTTTCAACCGAATGTGCTAGTTTACTGCAGATATACATACACCGCAATTATACTATTAATGCCACGCATAATGATGTTAGGTTAGAATGTAAAGACAATAAATATAATTGTATCGGTATGTCCTAAACTGACAAAACTTTCGTTTTATTATATATTACGTTGGGATCCCACATTAGGATTTTCTCCTGTATCATGAGTTACAAACATACAATTTCACAAGCACATGAGACCCGGATCACACAAAGAGTTGTTGTGTGCGGTAATCGAACCCGCGACACGTTGCACGGCAGCCAGTTGCCCAGCCTCCGCACCAACCGTGCAGTGTACTAATTATCACTATAACTGATATTATATCCACAGGGCACGTGTTTTGGAAAATGCATTTAGCATCAGTCTTAATGAATGGGTAGCATTTTATAATTACATAACTGTTATAGTTAGTGTTTATTGACATAAGGAATTTAATGGCTACTTCCAATATATGTAGGTAGATATTAATAAAAATGATGTGAATTGGCCAAACAAATCTGAATTTCAGTTACATAAACAAGCACAACAAAGAATACGCTACTACAAGCATTATTCGATCAACGTCCACACGTTTTCAAACAAATGAAAAGCCTCACAAAACATATGTACATTTTGATCCAGTGAACTGTCAAAACACGTATTTTCAATTTACGACTTTTGGTGAATTTTAATAGAGAACACAAAACTGTTGGAAACAACCACTAACTGAATACTTTATTCAAAACAACGCCAAACTTCATTCAAAAGTTATAAGCGTCACTATTAAAACAAACCACGAGAATCAACAAACTATATTAATAGCTCTTTTAAGTAGATCTCGATTAAAATCCTTGAAAGATTAGCACTAACAAATAATAAATTTTACCTCCTAAAATTATATTCTGTGTAAATCTCCCGAAGAACCTAAGAACGTTTGCCCTTACAATTTTATGTAAAGAGTCGACAAATCAACTTATTTAGCTAAAATCTCTGTCGATAGGTCAAAAGTTTAAATATAATATGCCAACTTTTTGACTAATATTATATTTCAATAGTATCGGGTTTGAAACGCGAACATAAGTTTTACACCGTGACCCCGCCGTCACGGGTAGCGTTACCGACGTGGGTGTCATCGAATGACGTCAAAAAGGGAACCCTTTAGATGTCACTGGTCCTTCTGACTGTTTCTATGTGGAAACAGACGATAAGTACAATTTCTTCGACTAGGCAATATAACTTCGGATCACATTTCATTGAGCCTTTTTTTCTCTCATACGAGTAATAGTTTGTCATTCACATTTTAGGGATATGTAATAGTTTCATAAAATACCCTAAATAGCTTAACTATTAGGTATAGTAAATTTGTAAAACTTGAGTTATTTGTTAAGTTAACACTTTAGAGTTACTAAATTGTCGCTCGGCCTTTATATTCATTAGCAAAAACCTTAATTATACACTCGCTTATAATTTACACCAATAACTTCTTTACAGTGAGGTAAATTAAGACATGGTAAAGGTAACGTAAAGATACGAGATTATTTGCAAATTTTGCTCTGCAACAATTCCTAAATGGTCCAGAACATTCATAGTAGTAAACTGCACATTAAAATGTTTTTATCTTGTGAAATGCGCGATCCGGCGGAATATGGCGCCCACGAGAGCATCAGGCATTGTTGATTGCAGCTCATTATGTAATCTGATTATACAGTATCTGTGAGCTAATCTTCAGTAGTCTGTTATTTTGTAAGATACACTTAGACGTACGTTTAGTTGTAATTTAGACGAGGGCTCTAAGATTACTTTTCTACATAGCTGTTCGATGTTTGTGATTAAGCAAAACCTATTGCAATCCTGCTGAGCTTGTTAGATCGTCGCTGAGGTGAGATGTGAACTTTTTTGTACCCCGGGGAGAGTAAAACCGGCTAAAGCCATTAAGTAATATCAGGTGTGGATACTTAGCACTAAGTAGCAGATATCGTCGGCTTACGTCTAGTTATATGAGTTATAAATAACCTCCCCACACAGATTGCCTGCTATGTTGTTTAGTTTTTTATTCAATCTCATCAATATTACTTTCGACTGAATACCCTTGTCGTGTTATACGCGTAATTTAATAACAAGCTAACTTTAATCCGAAACAATTTCTACTTTCGGGAGTTATATTAAAAAGGTTGAGCCTATTGTCAGATACCGGGCATGATTGCAAATTCGGATATCACCGTTTTTTGAGCCTGGAATAAATGACTTCTCCCGTACTGGGTAGATCGAGAAGGAGTATCGGAATCTGGACTGGACATACTGACCCATAACTACCCGGTTCCTTCTCCTGGTCCAGGCCGAATCTGCAGTGTTGCGGGGTACGTGCAATGAGGCACCGCGACATCGGCCCAGAGCAGGAGAAGGAACGGGGGTTTTTTAGTCAGTAAGAGTATGACACTCCCTTCCACAGAACCCTGGGCGGTAGAAGTCATTTGATGATTTTCCCCTCACAAAAAAAGGCCGAATCTGCCGTATAGTATTCTACCCATTCGAACAGTAGTTGGAAAAGATTTGTAGGAAATAACAAAAATAAAGGTGGCAATGTTCAATCCTAATGACGATAATCAGGTACCACAGAATGAAATCACAGAAAACACAGCTTGTGTAGGTGCACCAACACATTATTCGAGTGATATAGTAAGGTGTTGTAGAGCTTAAGTTTAATGGGCTCTTGAATTGACAGCTTAGCTGATCAATCGGTTCTGCTAATTAAACTAGTGGTATGTGACATATTATATGGCACTCACACATTAACCTCCTATATTCCCTTCACTAAGAAATACAAAAGCAAAATAAATCTTGTTACGATATTTACGAAGCATTGTTATATTCTATTATTGAAAGAAAATTGGCGCAAAAATTACAAAAACTTTGGATAACTGCGCTTGTTTTTAAAATGTTGGGCGTCTGATTATTTTAAATTAGGTAATTTAAGCGAAAATCTAATATGGTGAAACCTTTAACAAAATGAACAATACTAAATATTATTAATTTTCTAATCACGACTTCAATGATACACTTCACGAAGGTTCTATTTATGCTCAAAAATCATCCCTACCAACATTTATTGCGGGTCAAATGTCTAACGCCCAATTGTCTAGCCGGCACAATCGAACTCTGACCTTGTTCTCTTGGCAGAGAGTTCTAAATAAGAAGAGCAAGATTTATCCTTGAGACTGACATAAACGTCAAATAAAATCATTGTCTGAATTTGGTGTTGGCACAATCATCTCGTCGGCGGGGGGTAGCCTCATCGGAATGCCAAATGTATCACTGAGTACGCCCTGACTGATATCGTGCAAGGTTCTTGGAAGGGTAACATCAATATAAAAACACTCTTACTCTTTGCAGATATCATTCAGTGAATAGCATTCTACGGAATAGCATCTCATCGAAAAATTAACAGTCAAAAATGGCCGGACTAAAGGTAAAGTAGATCGTGGTATCTTCATTTCAAAGGAAGTATAACTAATAACTAATTGAAAAACGACAGTATAACGTTTTACTTTAACATACAAAAATTTAAGTGATCAAGTTAATTGAAAAACTGAAACAATTGGTTTTTCAGTAACATCTAAAAAAATGGTGTAAATTGAGTTTTTCTCCTAAACCAGATTTATTATTTCAGATCGATTCAGATTGTTTTTAAATATTGAGCGCCTAAAAATTTTAAATTAAGTTATTAAAGCTTAAATCTAGTATGATGAAATCTTATATACTAAAAATTGATTATTTTCAGATCGTATCAACCCTAGCGCTTCTTTCCGTGGTGTCAGCTGGTCACCTCGGGAGCTTCCAATCCTCCGCCGGATACAACGCGTTTGGCGCCAATGCTTACAACCCTGGCTCGGCTTCTGCATACAATGGCGGATATGGGGCACATATCCCCATATTGAGATACGAGAATGTAAACAGTGGTGATGGAACTTACAGATACAGGTAAAGTACTAAAGAAAAAAAACCTTTTTTGTACAAAATGCAATTGCCAATACTTTAGCTTACGACATCTTATACCCAATACCATTAAAATAGGGCCTACTGTCATTGGTTAGATTACAGAATCAAAATGATTGTAAATCATCCTCCACCTTAGACCTAAGACCTAAGATAAATAGGAAATAAACAATGATGCTTAACATTAAACATTTGCATTCTTCACAGCTATGAGACTGGAAATGGGATATCGGCGCATGAAAGTGGAGCCCCACGTGCCCCTGGACCTGAAGGTCTTGCAGTGACAGCTGAGGGTGGTTTCTCGTACCGCGCTCCTGATGGCCAGCAAATCTCCCTCACCTACACCGCTGACGAGAACGGCTTCCACCCCGTCGGCTCCCACATCCCTACACCACCTCCGATCCCAGAAGCTATCCTCCGCTCCATTGAATACAACAGACAACATGGTTCATCGTAAGTTGAATTGTATTTTTTTAAACAATACAACTTCAGCAGGTTTTATTATGTTGGATGTTGGTTGAAAAAGGTTGTGTGAAACGCGGGTTCAACACGGGTGATTCACAAATTGTTGTTTTGTATCTGGGAGGTTGTGTATGTCATTTTGTATGTTTATAAATGGAGCCATGAGACAGAAGAACATCCTAGTAATAAATGCTAGGCAATGATTTAAAACACAAGGAAGAAAAGGACAGTCATATACATACATGAATACGATACATTCCAAAAACGTTTGTAAGCATTGCAGTGGTTGACGCTTGGAACATACTTAGTCGTTATTCGTGATTCTTACGACTGAATGACTTACTATATCTTTGAATCATAAACCAATTAATAATTTGTATAATTGTTTCAGTGGCGAGGGTCGCTACCACCACGGCTACAACTACTGAACACATAGCGACAGACAACCGACGACTCACGACAGAATGAACGCATAAAGCACCGATTGTTATAAGCATCACTATTTATTCCATTATTACATGTTACTTGTTATTATGGGCTTTAATAAAGTTTTAAGAATGAAATATTAAATTAAATTTTTCATTTATTTTGGCATTAACCAATATATTGCTTCTGGACTGTTTATATCTATGTAATCTACAGTGTACCGTTCCACCGTAGATCCGAATATGCTCAAACAACACTTAATTAATGCTTTCATACTTAACTGATATCCAAAACCAAAATTTATAATATCGAAGGTCAAACCGTAAAAAACCATTCTTGCACAAATGAGCAGTGAAACTACGATTATATCGTGTCTCGCTGTGTGAGTAACACAAGGACTCGATGCTTCCTCCTCACCCAACCCCAATCTGAAATTCCCTCAATCCTCAAATCCTTAATACTCAAAGACCAGCAACGACTTGTAACTTACTCATCGATGTTAGTGGTGTCGATGGACAAAGTCAAAATATTATTCCAGATCATTCCTTTATTGTTCTTATTCGATACTTGACTTCATTTTAGTCTTTTCCAACAAGCGGTGAAAAAGGCAAATTAAAGCGTCTAATAACACGCATACTAGTAATTCCAAGATCGTTGTAATGAGAAAATATACCTAATAATACCGGTTATAAAGGGAATAATAAATAAACAATCTCTGGTACCCTATCGGTTATTGCCTGGGTTGCAGGACAAGCCTAATAAGGTACCGCAATCTCGGCCTGAAGCAGAAGAAGAAACAGGGCCTGACTAAAAAGTAGTCAGTAATAGTCAAAACACTCAAGAACTCACTTGATGATATTCACCCCTCAAAATAACCATTTCTGTTGTTACGACAAACAATTATCTCGACTACTTACATTTAAAAAAATACAGATTTGTTTGTTAGTTGTATTTATAGAGATGAATCCATAACTCAGGCCAAATATTCATGGTTGCCCGGAGGTTAAGGCACCCGCTTCTCAAGCATGATGGCGTGTGTTCAAACCTCACAAGAACTAATGCGACCTTTTCCTAGTTATATGTGACATCACTGATAATGAAACCTGGACTTCAAAGACCAAATGACGAAACCTGAACTAATAATTTCTCAGTTTGAAATCGCTAATCCGCCTTGAACGAGCGTGGTGAATAATGCCCAAACCTTCGTCGTGTGAGAAGGGGCCATTGCTCAGCAGTGGGTATTTATAGGTTGATGATGTGTGATTCGTACTATTTGACTTAAAACCACCCCGTTCCTTCTTCTGCTCCGAACATAGAGGGCAGCAAAGATGTATAATTAGTGTCAAAACTATACTTTTTATGGAAAAGGAAGCAAACGAGCATACGGGTCACCTTTGGGCAACGACGGAGGTGTGGCAGTAGAAGCAAAATTTTTGTCTTGAATGTCGACTTCTAATGGGTTATTTTAAATTGTCATAGAGCATCGTATCCTTGTGTTACAATAAACTAATCTTGCTACCGCACCCTGGGTTTCCTCAAAAATTATGCTTATTAGCTGAGGCTCTGGTAATTGATTTTTTTATCTATACTAATCTATATTATAAAGAGGTAAAATTTGTAAGTTTATATGTAGAGGGTTATCTTGCTGGTCGGATTTCCAATACCAAAATTATTTCACATAGAAAGCTACAATGTTCCTGAGTTCTCTAAGCAACTATACTCGTCTTGAGTAATTTAGTCGAGTTATCGCTATTAATGCTGCTGTTTTTATAATCCGGGGATCATCATCATCATCATCAGCCTGATTTCGTCCACAACTGGACATAGGCCTCGCCAATTGCACGCCAATCCCGTGATACGTAACTTTTATACACGTTCGAAGCCGCGGGCGAAAGTTAATGTTAAGTACTCTAATAACCGCACTCTTAATTTAGACATAAGTGGAATAAGTGTAAAAGAAAATAAAATAGTAAGTATATTTGAAATCAAATCTTTATTTGAAGTTTACAAAATAAATTAATATACAAATGCAAAATAAATAGTGATGCTCTAGATAATGACGTATAACATTGTAGGTATCAGTTTTTAAGTCCTTCTGTTGTAATCATGCCATTGCTTTTCAATATTTATATCCGTGGAAGTGACCGTTGTACGCACCGCTGTTGCTGGAAACAAAAAACTATAATGAATATACTTAAAGAACGTGTATTTTGTTAAAGACAAATGGTTTTCTTAATTGGTCCAATATTAACAATTGGTAAAAAATACTACAAAACTCATAGTACTCGATCAGTACCCTTGAAGAAAAGCATGAGTGATATAGATATGTATACGGTAAATACGTCAAAACTCAAGAAAACAAAGATTATTTTAACACCATGCTGTTATTTCCCGAAGGTTTAAGCAAAATTCTGTTGAAAATTGTGAGAATATCTTAATTTAACAAATTGCTTCATTGCTTCAGCAATTTGGAGGCATCCGAAGTTAAATTGGCTAAGAAATCGAACGCAACGTTCTTTAAGCGAAAGGCTGAAAGTAGTAAAACGGTTTTATAGCTTGGCTGATATGGTGCGGTATGAGTTCGAGGCAATTGGTCGACGCCTACCACACATACCTCGTGAGTAATCAGAGCCTCTGGCAGTAACGACACCACTTCAGCACCAACAGACATTGCGACAGAACTGTATGAACGCTCAGTACAAAGGTCAATCGAAAACATTTAGGAAATCTATTAGTCTGTTTATGGTAAATTAGGGGCAGAAAACGAACAATACTATACAATTCTTAAAAGATTTCTTCATTTGGTGTTTTGATTTTCTAAACACCGAATAGACCTTTTATTATCGATCATACATTTTACTAACTGATGTAACAGGTACTTACGATGTAGGGTTTTGCCTGTTCAATTGGATGGAGCGGAGGATGGCTTCTGGGATCGGAGGTGGTGTAGGGATGTGGGAGCCGACGGGGTGGAAGCCGTTCTCGTCCGCGGTGTAAGTGAGGGACACCTGCTGGCCATCAGGAGCGCGGTACGAGAAACCACCCTCAGCTGTTACTGCAGGACCCTCGGGACCAGCTGCACGTGGTGCTCCACTTTCATGCGCCGATATCCCATTTCCAGTCTCGTAGCTGTAGTAAATGAGAAATTTGATTAAAAGATACAGGTATTTCATTCGTCTACGTAGAAACCTATTTTAATCGGAACAAATAAATTAAATAATAATACTGCTATTGACAGAACTTTGAAAGTAGATTTGTGAAAATAAGCAAAGATATCTCAGCGATTTCCATAGTTGAGTTGAGCTTACCTGTATCTATAATTTCCGTCACCATTATTCACGTTTTCGAATTTCAGTATTGGTATATGTGCTCCGTAGCTGCTGGTGAAAGCCGAAGCTGATGCAGCTGTCGCAGCCGATGAATGATGATAAGAGTTTGATCCAAAAGCATTGTAGCCAGAAGAGGGCTGGAAGTGGCCCAAATGACCAGCAGATACCGCAGACAAGAAAGCGAACAGGGAAACAATCTAATAGAAAAAGAGAAAGATACATTAAAAAATTGTTCAAAAACATTTTTGGTATTGATCGATATTTTATTATTACATTTGCAAATTATTAGGTACAGTCATATTTTGGCCTCGAAAATAATTTAACTTTTATTATTTCGGCTTAGATTGCAAAACAATAGATCTATCTCCATACTGCTCTTTGCTCTTACCTTAAGGCCAGCCATTTCAATTCTTTTTTTAACTTGTGTTGTTGTTCAGAAGACTACTATTCACTGAATGATGTCTTCAGAAAATTACAGAGTTTTTATATTGATGGTACCCTTCGAAGAACCTTGCACGACATTAGACTGGGCGTATCAGTTGTAAAGAATATTTTGGCTAAGGTATTTGACATTTCGATGAGACTACCTCCTGCTGTGTTGCCGAGATCATTGTTACGAATACTGACAAGCAGGTTGATGATATAAATTTGATCATGTTTCTGCACATCGGTTGCAATTAAAGTGGTTGCCCATTCGCCAGCGCAGGGAGCAAAGGGCGCTTACCACTCTATTTTCCTTTCTCAACTCACCTTGCCTACCTACCTATCTGTCCCCTTATTTCCAATACACCTGCGCAAACCATAGTAAATATCTTCGCTCATCTAATAATCGTCTCCTCAACTGTCCAACTCATCACTCAAAATTTCTTCACTCCTCCTTTTTTGTTCAGGCTATTCTTCTGTGGAATGCGCTACCCCCCGATGTCAGGACTGTGACTAGTCGGCTGACATTCAAGCAGAGAGTTCGGGAGCTTCTTCTGAGGAGGGTTAGGGAGTCATCGTGATCACGACTACATTTATGTATATATATGTATATATGTATTTATATGTGTAAGTATATTAAGTAGTATGTGTTTTATAATATATATAAGTATAGTTCTATGTACTTTATGTATGTTTATATAAACCTATGTTATACTATTCTATTTCGCTTGCTTCTTGCATCTACTACTGGACTCTCTGCATCACCCAAAGGTCGACTGGTAGAGAATGCTCAATGCATTAAGTCCGCCTTATGTACAAATAAATTGTGCATGAAGTGAATAAATAAATAAATAAATAAATGATCACTGAAATATTTGCACGAATTTGGCACACCTTATTTTTACATTTTCATGACCTACTGTCCGGATTTGCGTTTTTATGCGTATTTGTTTTTATTTTTGCGTTTGGCCACTAAATCGCCTAGTAGCTATCCTCACAACTTTACTTTTAACGAAAGAAACGGTATAACAAGAAAGTGTACGTTAGCGTTAAAAATTGTAGATTACAGTCTGATCTGAGATTGAAATCTGCATCTAACTGCCTCGTTCATCAAGATGTCTTGATCTCTGAGTCCGGTCAAACTATTATTTTGGGGTTATTTCGGTTTTCGGTGGTTTTTCAGTAATAGCGAATTTGTAATTTGGCCTGGTATATGGTACTCATAGGCGATGCTGCTTGCTTACCATCTAAACTTCTCGTTTGCCGTTTATTCCATAAAATGAAAACATTGTAAATATGGCTATCTGTAGCCATGGTAATTACTTCGTTATTTCTTTTAACTGTTAAACTAGTTTTGATAGTTCTCAAACTATATCAATTTCAGGTGCATTCTCTTCGAACTTTTTACAATCGGGTATTTTTTGTTTTTCAATTTTGGGCAGGCGTTTGGCCGCTATCACGCCTAGTGGTAAGCGATGATGCGACCTACAATGGAGCACGCCTACTTACGCATAAGGTACCTATTCACTTTCATGTATTTTCATCCTTTTTTCCAATGAGGGAAAATCATCAAATTACTTCTCTCGCCCAGGCTATGGCGAGAGGGAGCGTCAGCCTCTTACTGACTAAAACCCCCCGTTCCGTACCTCATTGCGCTTACCCCGTAAAATGTCCCAGATAATAAAGGTCAATGCGCTACGAGACTACCTTACAAACTAGATTCTAGAAAAAACAACAAAAAAAATATTACGTGAAATGACGAGTTAGAGTGCGTTACCGGTCTTTTAGGGATGAGGGTTACGAAGATTTATGGATTGGAGGAGGGGAAAAGCTTTTGGCATCCGGTAATCTCAATCGCGCGGCGAAACAACGTTGTGTTTGTTTGTATCACGCCGGTTTTTTGTGAGGCCGTAGTATCACTCTGGTCGAGCCGGCTCGCTCGTATCAATTTATGTCTCCCCCACACTTAAAGTATAGTGCCAAAATTGACACTAATAATCAAATCTATATTTCTCGAAAATGCCCTTTTCATACTACTACTAAATGGCAAAATCACATCACATCACACCATTAACCTTATAAGTGCCCACTGCTAACCAAAGGCCTCTTCTCATTAGAAGTGGGTTTTGAGCGTTAATCACCATGCGTGCTTAAGCTGGATTGACGATCTTAAACTTATAATTAGAAATAATCATTTTAGATTTTCTCACGGTGTTTTCCTTCGCCGTATTCTAGTGTTATCTTAATAATCATAAAAGTACATATAACTCAGAAAAAGCACATTGGAACTGGCTAGGTTTCGAACAAATGACAAAAATCTCTTTTTTGCTTGACGTTCAAAAGTGCCTTTTTTGGTCTATTTGAAATAAATAATTTGATTTGATTTGAAAAAATAGGAAAAATGTCATCATCGTGAGTTCATTTTCGCATAGAACTCTATAAAATCATGTCACTTAGCTCTTTTTCATTTATACGCGTGTTACAGTGCAACTGAAGTCCTCAAATCTTTCACCGCTAACTACTACTGTCGTTCTGAAAATTCTCGTTTCTAGTGCCAAAGGACACTTTCGTTTTGCATTGAAAAGTTTTAATGGCCGACCAACGTCAAGTGTATCTTTTTAATGGAGAGCAACTTGTGTGTGGCTTTTCAACACGTCGATTGAAAAAAACTACAAAATTTACTGCACTGCTTTTGGAATAAAAATTGTGATGGAACATACATTATATGCCGTTTGGCTTTTTTAAGATAGCTTTTTGTTTTGTAATTAATTCTATTCCTTCATTAACCACTTGATTGGCGGTATAGGAGACACAATTATATTCATTGTCTTGCGAAAATCCGCATTTCAGCACATCACAAATTAATTCACAGTTGACTGAGAAACTCATTTAGTTCCTAAGTCAACTATGAATTACATGGACAGGAACTACATAATCTGACAAAAATCGGCCAGCAAAGCTCTTAGATGAACCTGGACCTTTTGAACTGCGATCGTGAACCCGTCTGTCAATTGTGCAAACTATGACAAACCTTCATAAATAGGTACAAGAGCCTAGTGATCTAGATAACAACTACCGAGATAAAAAAAATATTATTTTATCCGATTTTTTTATGGCAATGTCCATACTTTTTAATGTGACGTCTAACATTCGAGAAACCATTACGAAGCAGGATCTTCTGTTCATTTCACATCAATAAAATTTGAAAATAGAGCTTTGATATAGTCCGAAATAAAAATGCTGTAATATGAGTACAAGATCTCATGAATTCCTATTTCTTTCCCTTACATTTTACAATTACCTTTTAATTTTACCTAAATATATCATTTATAAAAAATTAAAAACATTAAGGCCTTATTCGTACTATGTACGTTTTCCAATATTTTTTTTTTTTGTTTTGTTACTTTATATTTCTTAAATCAGATTAGTTTATAAGTTGTATGAACCTATGTTTCGTTATGTGCAAGTTTATGATGACTAAATAGGAAATTCTATGTATTGACATAAATTGCTGAATTTTAATGAAAACCCTATAGGTACTTTGTTCATTCAGGCCTCTGACCAGCGCTTAAATACCATTTGTCTAGGAAATCAATCACACTACTAAACCTGTCTACGATCAAAATAGCAAATTGTTTCAAGGAGACCCAAAGTGAACAGTACACGTGGCCTATAACAAGTGACAAAGGTCAGGAGTTATCGTAGGAGTAGCTTTGTAAGCTGTTTGACGGGAATCAGTTGAAATGTTTCGTACAATTTAATCTATTATAATTTCAACAAGAAAATAGTTTATTTTTGTAATTTGATTTTGGAGTTGTTTTGCAGTTCAAATGGTCTTATGTGCGTTGGCGTGTACATATATTGTTGATCTTATTTGTATATAGGTATATATATGTACATATATTGCATAGCAACAGCTTCCTTAATCGATTGATCGCGGAGGCAGCAAACGCGTTAATACCACAGAGGATTATTTATGGTTATTTCTTTTTTCAAAGTTTGAGCCAAGCTTCGGCGCGATTGGGTCGGCTCGATCGGAGTGATACCATGGCCGCACAGAAAACCGGCGTGAAAGAACCACAACGTTGTTTCACCGTGTAAGTGAGGTTACCAGAGGCCTAATCCCTATCCCTTCCCAAATCCTTATATCAGCAGCACTTATACCCAAAAGGCACCGATTGCTTACCATCAGGTAATCCGTATCGAATGCCGACTTATTCCATAAAAAAATACGAAAATCTTTTAGTAACTTTGACTAAAAACAAACAATCTAGATTGGAATCTGAATCTGGATTCTGATTCACAAGATTGTGTAAATTAACAGAAAAGTAATTATGTTAAGTCACGTATTTGTAGTGATTAAACCTTGTGTCTGATATGGGTCAGAATGGGATACAGAAACTTACAAATAAAATTTAGATATAACTGAAATTTCACAAATGAGTATGCATTAGTAAAATACGATAGACCCTCAGCCTGATAAATTCTTAATTTAAAATATTCGACCATTCGATAAATTAAAATGCTAAGATTTTTTTTTCTAAATTCGAACTTATGTACTTATATACTAAGATAACATATTTGATGTTATCTTTAAAAAATAGTAAGCCACTAAAGAGCATCACATTCTTTATTTAAAAAATATACATCTGGTACATAAAATAAAGTGTTTAATAAATAGCAACATTGTTGTAACTGTTTGTTACTTCGATATCACAGTCCATGAGAGGTACGGGCTAAGAACAATTAGCACCATAAAGCTAAATACTGCTTATTGACCTTTATAACAATGCAAAAGAATCAATAAGGCTTATTATCCCTTATGGTACTTTTAAGCGCGCCAGTATTAGTAGTAGTTGCGTCCGCCATTGAAGGATCCTGCATCACTGAAATTTGAGTAACAAATAATTAGTTAAATTTATTAATCTAAATAAAATATTGAAAAAAGGTCAAATACTCTATTACATCTTGATTTAATACAGGTAGAATAAAAAAAGAGAACGAGAAGTTAAGTAAGTAACGATACTACAAAAACAAACTAAAATTTAAATTATTTAAATTTTACGTAACAAATTCTATGATAGTAGTTGGGCGATTCCTTATTTTTTTTACACCACTGTCTCCACTTCAATTTTTATTCTATGACCTACCGCAATACTCACAGTGTAACCAAAACACCAATCGATAAAGGTACCTGTTACTTACTTCTAAGGTTCTTAATGCCAGTTTTTATTAATCGAGCTGTCCAATTTTGCCTTTTATTATTGACAGCTTTATTTTGAAATAATAATTTGATTATGATGTTCATGAATAGTTACAAATTTTATGTAATTTTCGTGTGCAAATTCATGTCTTTGTAATTTCGAAACTTGTCAAATAATACCTAAATAAGATGTTCTTATTTTTTTACTTAAAACGCTTATTTTGTATAGTTTAAAAAAGGGTTGGTAAAAAGTTAAGAAAATTGCATGTAATTAATCCTCTATGACTGACTAAACTGTATAAAAACAGTCACAGTAGTCCTCAACTCGTTTTTTCTTCAAAAACAGCACCAACAAACCTTTTTACTCTATCTTTCTTTATCACTAAATTAAGTTCGTTCAGGTTATGGTTCAGCATGTCTGTTGCATATTAATTTTAATGCATATGCCTACCTAGTACTTTCATGAGGATTAAAATTTAACAGGAATAACAACTTACGGTGAAGGATGCTGTCTGTTGTACTCAATGGAACGAAGTATGGCTTCTGGGATAGGAGGTGGTGTAGGGATGTGGGAACCAGTCGGATGGAAGCCGTTTTCGTCCGCGGTGTAGGTGAGAGAGACCTGCTGGCCGTCTGGAGTCCTGAACGAGAAACCTCCTTCGGCTGTCACTGCGGGACCTTCTGGACCTTGGGCTCGGGGGGACCCAGACTCGTGAGCTGATGTTCCTTCAGGAGTGTCGTAGCTGGAATGATTACATCATGGTATGAGATGCGAGATTCAAAAATGCAATAATAATAAACTAATTACGTTGGCAGATCAAGGAACCGTGATGTGCCGTACCAGACGTTACACTGGAGGAAATCCGGAGTTGGACTTTTAAGCAGTCCCGGAGTCCCTTACAGGTATTGATGGTGGCCACCGGGTAGATTTTAGTGAGGTAAAAATCGCACACTCCCTAGTCTTACTCTCCAAAATTTAGGCGCCTTTTGAAGATTTCCCCCATTCACAAGAGAAAAAGTCAAGGAACGAAAAGGAAACATACGTGTAAACTATTGATTGCTGACAGAAAACTAAAAAAGAGATGAATACGTCCTTGTGTTAAAAAATTGCTGCGTTCGATCTAACCATTTATTTATCATTTTTGATGGAGCTTGATGACCACATGATATAGAAAATACATTGGTACAAATAGAAGGGTTTCTTTTGTATATATGTTCCAGAAGTCTATATATCTTAACCATATGTACTTTCTATGTGTTAAATACCCGATACCTCGTAACAAAAACATCAGTCACACGGAGTGCGCTAGAATTCTAACGACTACTTATAAGTTATAAGTTTCCCACGAGTGCATCGGAATGCTATCTATATCTGCAATTATCGAGATGCATCAGTCAGAAACGGTAAACTACAAGTACTTACTGGCAACTAAAGATTTGTTAACAATGAACTTTATGTAATTACATACGTATAACATGTTATTTAATTACACGTCTTGTTCTTACTGAAGATCTATCTACATTGGGCTAAATAAGTTTTTTGAAGGCATAAAACTAGTTAACAAATACCATATTTAATTTTTTTCTGTAGTCACACACATCCGGGTACCTACAATATGGTTTTCAGACACCAATCGACATTTTCTTTTTAATGACTATGTAAAACTTATTTGTGAAAACTTTTAAATGACCTTCAAGAGTCGTATTATTTCTCTCACATTGTTTCTTCTAGCTGTAAGTTTTCCGAAAATGACAAAATAAAAAATTCCAAATAAGTCAACGTCTTAGTATTTACATTATATTAATGCAGTTACTTACATGCATTAGGTACAAAATAAATGTGTTTTCAGAACTATGTGTATGTTACCAACTACTCCCGACCTGGAAATCATCTATCAATTTCGTTCGAAATAAGAGGGAGTATAATTATTTTTATGTAGCTAACATTAAAAAAAATATACTCCCTCTTATTTCAAAAATCTCAGTCGATGAGTCGACAACAATATCCGTTTGTCGATCGTTTAGAAACAACCAGTTTTGCTTTGTAAACAAAGTTCATTCAGTAAGCAACTTCCTTTTAAACTGTTTGACCTCTCAGACATTAAATAAACATAATTATTGTTTTAAATTTTAATAAAATGACATTCTGACATTACCTGAAGCGGTAGTTCCCATCACCGTTGTTAACATTTTCGTAGTGGTAGGGCGTGGCATCGAACCCTGCGCGGCCGCCGGCGTAGCCCGAGGGTACCAGGTGATCTAAACGAGCGGCGCCTACGCAGCCCACTATCGCTATACACACGAACAACTGAAACATTTTGTTTAGGGTAGTCAGTAAGTGTTTCGTCATTATATTAATTTATTATTTATTAAGCTTTATGCACACAAATTTCTGTACATAGGCGGACTTAATGCCGTAGGCATTATCTACCAGTCTGACCTTTGGGTGATGCAGAGATGAGTAAATACGGTGAGCGCAAGCAGCAAAATTTTTAAAGACTAAAACAAAGACTCAATACGATAATGTATAAGTTTAAACAAATTCAATAACAATATAATCTTACATAAACTAATAATACATACAAATTATGTATAAATAAATATAGAACACTAATATAAATAAATAGATACTATATACTTATATATATACTTAAATTTGCTCATTGTGATGATTCAGCCAATTTCTTCAATAAATGCTCACGAACTTTCTGCTTGAAAGTCAAACGACCTAACACCATCCTGTTATATACTATATACTGTTTTTTTTATGTAATAGGTCGGCAAACGAGCAGACGGATTACCTGATGGTAAGCAAACAGCGCCGCCCATGACTCGCAACGGAGGAGTTACGAGTGCGTTGCCGATCTTTTAGGGATTTAGGGATTCAGGAGGGATTGGGGAAGGAGAAGGATAGGGCCTCCGGTAACCTCACTCACACGGCGAAACACAGTGGTTATTTCACGCCGGTTTTCTGTGAGGCCGTGGTATCACTCCAGTCGAGCCGACCCATTCGTGCCGAAGCATGGCTCTCCCACACTTTTATTTGACATTCTCTCGTGTAGGTTTGTCAAACTTTTCTAATATAGGTATTTTTTATAGTTTTTCGTAAAAGCTATTGTTTTTTGGTATCATTTAAAGAGGAAAATTCTTTTTTTAATATTGTTATACAACTTTTTTTTATTTGTTTCGGCTATATTAGGTTACTAAAAGACGTGTCACGGCTTTGAGTAATAATTAACATACTGGCAAGTTTATGTATATTGGGTGCAAGTAAGGAAGCGCTGACTAAATTAGGACTAAATAGAACAATAAATTAATGTCCTATCCCCAAGTGGCCCCAATTCGAGGTGACAGTAGGAAACATAGATATTACTAAGTTGTGTGAAGTATAAGTTATAGCAACTTGACTAATCACCCCAATTTGTCATTGCTGGAATTAGAATATAAAAGCATCAATTAGTATGCACTATGAACTAAACTAATAGCTCTTTTAAATTAACATTTTACACGTTCATTTTATACTTTCTATATGATTTATATAGTCTTTAAATAAATTCGGCCAATGACTTCGGTAATAAATCATTGTAGCATAGAATCTTTTTCCAAAAAAGGTTTTAAGCAACAAAACTTTTTGGCATTACTGGCCAATTTTGACATCCAAAAAAGTCCTTAGCGATGATATTTAGTACAATTTTAGCTCACTTATCATCAGATAGCTGGTTAAGGATGCCCCTTATCAGAGGTTAAAGATGAAGCGGCGAATACCGTACAAGGTGTTGCAGACGAAAAGCTCGTAACAAAAGCGTTGATAAAACAATACCTTACCAGTTTCGTCATTGTGAGAGATGGTTTCTGTCGATATTGTCTACACCGGTGCTAGGCTTGGAATACGGATCGCAGGGATGTTCACGTTTTATATCTGCGAAGTTTGCCCTTTCCGCAGGTTGCCTCACCTTGCTCGTATTGTTGTTAGGCGGGCCCGGCGCAAATTACGAGAGGTCAGCTATGCGCTATGTTCTATGTATGATCTATGAAACTTGTCATGTTTATCGACGGCGCATGCCACAGAATTTTGTAACAAATGACACTTACTTAGATGGACTAAAATAAAGGACACTTTATTACATTGCAATATGATGTGACATTATAATCTTTTGTCTTCGCTGACAATAGCTTTTGCGTGTGATTATGAATGATTTTCTAAAGTACTTGGTCTCACTTTGAATGATTCTAGATCTGTCTCTATTCCACCCGCAACCCTGGTTGGACTTGAGCCCGAGTAGGTAGCATCTGTAGGCCCAGGCTGATGGATGAGCGAACGAGTGTAGAACGTAACGCGCCGTACGCTCTGCGCTGGAGTGATACCCCAGCCTCACAGATAACTGAGGTGAAAAAATCACTGAGTTGTGTTTCACTGGGAGAGACAGGGAGTCCAATTCGGTTTCTCTCTCCACATCCTCATCGAGATCATCCTCAATAAGCGAAACCGATTTGTATCAGATGATCTTTCTGCCCGCTTTCCAAAGACAGAAGTTTTCCTACTTTGCAAAAAATAATCAACCAATAATGCCGTCGGACAACAAATAAGGATGCTTCTGTATTAGGGTTCGAGTTGATCTCGATTTCAAATGATCTATTGCTTGAAATCGAAATGCTTGATTCAATAGAACCAGTAAGCTGCAAAATAAATGAGAATGTTTGCCGCAACAATTGGCATATGCAATATCGTAAATTCGCAGCCATAACTTTCGAGATCAAATATAATTTATTATTATTATCCGTACCTTGAACAATCCGATGAATGACGACTGTATTACTATTTACCTACTTTCACAAAGTAAATATCATATCAGACGTTTTCTCATAAAGATTTCTTATGATTTCTTCGATTTATGATACAGCTTCGTCTTGTATTATAATGGAAATACTCAAATAATATTTTAACTTGGTCGTATGACTAGACACATTTATATGTATAGTAGAAGACAAAGAAAAATATAAGGATGGAAGCCAACGTTCTGTAACGTATAATAATAAGAAATTTTTAATTACCACTCAGACTTGGTAGATTTTTTATAGGTATTAAAATAATTTACCATTATTAAAATAAGGCTCTTTTGATACCTCTTTTGATTTCGTGATCTCCGAAAGGAATACCTAGGGGTTTTCAAGGCCTGAGTGAATAAGTGTGAGTAGGTGAGCTCAATCATCGTCTACCACCAGACGAGATGGTAGCCAAACCAGCCCACTGCAAATATCCCAAAGGACAATAAAATGCAGGGCACAACTATTATGTTCTGTAAACATTTTACCTAACCATATGTTTATAATATCATGCAAATTTAATGTAATTTTTATCTGTTACACGCTTCCACATACACGGAACAGATAACGGGACAAAATGTTGGGATTTAGATAACACAAATGTGTAATTACATATATAATACCGAGCACTTTATCTAGATCCCATGTCAAAAATCTGGAATAATCAAAATGTATTTCCATTAGGATTATACTTTCACTAACATTAGCAACTAATTGGTATAGATACCACACTGTTCTTGGTATAATTAAAACAGTTTAAATTACACATTTAAACTGGAAGGCTCATGTCCAAAAAATAAAAGCAAAGCTCTCAAAATTCTCCTACGCCTTACGCGAAATCAAAAAGACGACCAACATAGAAACTGCTCTCACAACTTACTATGCGTACGCACAAGCATGGCTTAGCTATGGTATTATTTTGTGGGGCAACAGTACGGATTCACATACAGTTTTTACGCTGCAGAAAAAACTAATCCGGGTAATAGCAAATATTGAACAAACGGATAGCTGCAGACCATATTTTCACAAATATAAAATACTTACCCTGACCTGCCTTTACATCTTAGAGACATGTAAATTTGTTCGACAACATCCAGACTTCTACACTACCCGAGAACAAACACAAAGTAAATACACATTGCGCCACAAAAACAGACTGAACCTACCCCCATCCCGACTTAAAATGTATCATTCCGGCCCCCTAGTAATGTCCATAAAAATATATAATAAACTGCCAAAAGAAATTGTAGAAATAGAAAAAAACAGTGTATTTATAGTAAGACTAAAAAAATATTTAATTGAAAGATGTTATTATACCTTGAAAGATTTCTTTGATGAAACGAATGAATGATGTCATAATTTAATAGTATGAAAGTACAAATACAATAATAATTTTAGGTATATCACAAGAAGATTATTTTCAAAAATACTGTAAAGTTACATATACATATACCTCTCTAATGTATAAGATGTTTTACGTTACGTAGTTATAGATTAAAAACATTTTTATTATTATTAATTTAATTTACCTAATTTCCTAATTTAAATTAAGTTCATAAATTTATTTTATTTCCTAATTTAATTTAATTTTAAAATATATTTGAACTTTATAATTTCATAATATAAGTTAAATTTTGTTATTTTGTCATATAAGTTGATTTTATTATTTTGTAATGTAAGTTAATTTTATTATTTTGTAATTTGCTGTGCCCGACAGGGTCCATAATGATCTTAATACTGATACACATATTTGATTAAGATTTGATTTTTGACTTTGACTTTGAATAAACATTTGAATTTGAATTTGAATTTGAACAGCTACCAGCTATAGAAAAACTCTTTGTAGCATTTTTTCAACAAAAGTTGTGATAGTGACATAACACACTGACCAACATCAATAAATATTTATAAGTCCCATATTCAGCCATCTCTATCATTATTACATGCTACATCCGTCTGTCTGTACAACCTTCCTCAATAAATGGACTATCCAGCAAAAATAATTATTATTAAATTCGAACAAGTTGTTCCATAGATTAGCGCCATCAAGCGAACAGACAAACAAACTCTTCAGCTCTATATCTTTGTTGTTATTATTCGTTTGCAACAAAGGATAATAATGATCACAATTCCAATTTAAATTGAACATTTCGTTACATATCCCACGTTTGAAATGTCAACGAACTGAATTAGTCAAGTAGTGACCCAAAATACCATTACAAAATAGACCGAATACAATACCCACATTAATTACTTCTGTTATTTCTTGTAATTAACTTAAATGCCTAACGATACTTGCTTTTACTTAAACGTGAAATTTAAGTGTTAGAGAGCGTCCCGTTCCCTCTCCTGCTATAGGCCGAGGCTGTCAAAGTCAAAATCATTTATTCCAACTAAACCATAAATAGGTACTTTTGAAACGTCAAAATAGAGAAGTAGTCTGTCAGTCTGTTCGTCAGTGAAGCTAGGTGCTCATTCCAAATTGTAGATTCGAATTATTCATTTATAACTCCTTCGGTGATGCGAGTGGAAATGTCCATTGAGTGTAGCGTCTGCGCTCATGGAGCCATATTTAAAAAAAAAGGTGTTAATAAAGAGTGCTTACACATTATGTGTTTTAGTTATACTGTACCCTAAATCGCGATCTCTCATGAATTGCGCTCTGTGCAAAATATTTTGCACAGAAAGTACTAAGATGGTCCGCCACGCCCACAGCTTTGTAAAGTGGCGATATAAATAAACTAAATCTGATATCCAACTACAATAGTAGAGCCCCAATTTTGGTTTAACCTTAACTTTTAAAGAGGTCAGCCTGGTGTATTGAACACAACAAACAACTTTTACTGGTTCTAAAATACAAAAATTAATAAGTTTTCCTAGAGCACGAGTTTCAAATTCTGTATTGTTATTTTTATTCTACTGTCTTACCAAATTAATTATTATGTTTTCGGATTACTCACATAATAATTTGACGAGATACTCGACTATTTTCAAGCCATGCTAGAGGCCATATTCATGAGCAGCATTCCGCGACACGCGACTCGGCGACTGTCGCGCTGCTACTGGCAAACATAATAATTAATTTAGAATGTCTCACAAAAGTTATAATAAAAATACTGTCTTTCCAGTTTACGGCCATCTAAGATCAATGAAAAAATATGTAATGAAAATAAAAAATATACTTACAGAAATCTTATCATTTCGGAAGCTATAATTTTACAATGAATATTAAGTGTGGGAGAGCTATTCTTTAGAATTAATGTTTTGGTTCGACTGGAGTCATACCATAACCTAACAAATGTATGAATGAGGTTGTCTGAGGCCCAAATGCACCCAATCGTCCAATCCCTGATCCTGAAAAGGTCGGCAACTCACTTTCAATTAGTCTTACTACTACGGAAGTTTCTATAGGCGGCGACGATTGCGTACAATCACTCATCAGCTCGTTTGCCACCGTATAACATAATAAAAACAATGTACCTATACTGACAGAGAAATCAATATCATACTACAAAATATGTGAGTATATAACATATTTATACAAGACAAAGCTATTACTATATCCGAACTTGAGACCAAGTAAAGAACTATTCAAATACGAACAATAATAGAATGACGTAAATCGGAAAATTCTAAGCGGAAAACACTGAAATAGAAAAAAAAATGTCTTTCGGTTTGTCTGCCACGTGACTTCGGATGCAAAGTCTAAACAAGATTACATTATCATGTGTAATTTTAATATTGCTTTATTAATTGGAAGTCAAGATCAATAAGATTTTTGTATTATGAATACCTAGTTTTCATAAATACTTTATTTAAAAAAGTAACAAGGACCAAATAAATACTAGGTATTTGTCTAACTGTAGCTTAGTTTACAACAAAAAAATTGTAAAACACATACTAGTAGATATTATAATTCATCATCATCATCATCATCATCAGCCTGTTGTCGTGCACTGCAGGACATAGGCCTCCCCAATTGCACGTCACTGAGCTCGATGTTCAGCTCTTCTCATCCAACCACTGCCAGCCACCCTGCGGATGTCGTCATT